TAGGGATAATTGTACAGACTCTTAGACTGCAAAGTGTAAGGATAGGAATCCATTTTACTATTACTCAAACAGTGTCTTAATAGTGGAATCTAGCTGTCTTGAAGCTACATTACTTTTAGTTAATATGTACACACTGTTATCCATAGTGATTGATTTAAACACATTTGCATACTAGGAGGACTGTGACATCATCAGCAGTTAACCAATCAGGTCCCGGATTTCCGAGAGGAGGCTGAATCAGCGCAACTGCTCTTCTTAAATGGCCACGGAAGGTGTCTGTTCCCCCCAGATCTTGCATAATTATTCGATTGCCGAGGCCATGCCAGCATTGCGTAACGTCTGCCAGCTGATTGACTCATTGCCTGGCACGCGTCCGGCTGGCTTGGCGGCGCTCCATCGCTCCACGCTGCCACATCCGCAGCCCTCGCTGCTTCTGCTGCACCGCCAGCTGCCCGTCACGCCGGCGCATGTGCCCAGTCCTCCTTCTGCAGATTAATACCACTTCTCATTTCCTCTTCCGACTGATGTTCTTCTACACTTCCTCTATCACTCCACACTTCTCCCTCCACATCGCTCTTCTTCCCCCCCCCGACCCCCCACCAGATCCTGCACAGGCCTGAGAAATCCTGGCACCTCCAGAGTATCCAGCATGTCCTCCTCCATCTGTGGAGCCATGACAGCTGGCTGTGTAGCGGGCAGTACGACGATCCGGGGCTCAGACAGGTAAGCCGGCCCCAGGCAACGGCCCCGGCTCAGCCCCCACGCTGCCGCCCTGGTGGAGCACAGCTATCTCTGTTTTTTTTCCTTCGCTATTGAGAGATCGGCGTGCTGCTGGGACACTCCATAGCGGGGCAGGGAGCCAGGCAGCTTGATAAGGTCTGTATCAATACCGACCCATAGACGTCTTACCATTCAGCCCCGTACTGCCATTATTCTGATGCCCTTTAGGTTGCCTGAAAGTTTGTGCAAATATTTGCTTATCGCTAAACAAACGAATGTAATGTTTTTGGACTGCCGGGACGTACCTATGGGAACATACACAGAGCTAGGGGTGGGAATCGAACCCTAACCATAGCGGAGTGAGGCTAACGGCGCTATCCGCTGTGCCACCACGTGCACCCCGCAAGGGGCGTTAAAAAAATCTGGAAAAAAAGTAAGCAAATTGCGGCATCCGTTTACACACATAAACACAAAACAGCAAGCGGAGTAAAAGATGAGTGCCCACTGTTGCTTAGCAATAAAAACCTGCCAGAAGTAATAGGCAATAGCAAGGCTTCTGCGGGCCCAGCTGAGAGAATTTCATGCCCCATTTCGGGTGATCTATCAGCGCTGTCGGCCCCGTTATTATTTCCAGTCCAATACACTGTAATTTGCAAAACAACAGGTCTACAACTTACACACCTTGGCCCAGGTTCACTCAACTGGGTCTGGAAATATGTTTCATTGTTATAAGAGCAGCTTTGGCTTTGATAATAAATTACAAGAGGCTATAATTACACATTAAAACAGATGGGATGCGTATGCCACAGAGAGAATAATCTCTAATTACCTCAGGCACCTAGACTTCAAAACCAGTACCGGTCCACCAAGACTTTCTTGTTGAATATTTTCTATAACATTCGATAGTTGGACAGAAACAGAATATACAAATGTGAAAATATGTAAATAACAGCAGTAGCCTATGGCGGGCATGAGGATCAGGCCACAGGAAAACCCTGGCCCGCATAAATTTGATTGGTAGCTGTCAGAGGGAAGGCCACACCCCCTTCAGTGAAGCTGGAACCCCAGCAGGATGAAGGATGCGTATTCAACACCGCATGCAGTCAGGGGAGCTGAGCATGCAGACAGACTATGTAATATTATCCAGCAGTGCACTTTTTATAGCATGCCTGGGCGTAACACAGCCCCATTGGCACACAGATGCACTTCTGATTCCCATTCCCACCAGACAGAGGTCACTGGCACAAGCCCCACCCCCAGATATACAATACACAGTCACGTGACGGCAGTCACTCCACATAGCATGTCTATTTGCCATTATACTGCTAACAATATGATGAATACTGAACAAATGATGAGGACAACGAATGAATGATGGATGAATGACAACAGACGAATGATGAATGACAATGAATGAATGATGGATGAATGACAACAGACGAATGATGAATGACAATGAATGAATGAACGGCAATGAATTAATGATGGATGAATGACAACAGACGAATGAATGAGGAATGACAATGAATGAATGAATGAATGTCATTGAATGAATGAATGAATGAATGAACGAACATGGAATTGTGTTTCATACTGTATGTAACACCAGAGGTAACTTAACATTCATCTGCAAACTCAACTCTGAAATCAATACCCACCTGTTTAAACAACAAATTAACAAAAAGCCCAAATGCATCTATATCAGGGTCACACCACAGGATGAAGATCGATACTAATCTGACACCCAGACCTGCTGCGTTGGTTGTACGGTTGCCATCATCCGGGAGATCACTCTGGCTTTCTCGGCTTCCCGAATGCCAGCCTTTTAGCCTGCTGTCTTTTTTTTTGCCATATCATTGCATTCTCTCCTTCAGGAGGAGGAACGATTGCATTGCAGCATGCTGCCATTAATTCTCTGCAGATGAGGAGTTCTCAGTCTCCAAATGAAATTAGTGCAAAGAGGCTAAGCTGAATATTACTGTCCCAGCCAGGGGAAAAGAGAAAAATGCAGAAAGGGCTGTTTATGGGTCCTATCCTCATGCAAATAGGTTCATTTCATTTTTACAACCAACATGACTTACACACTGACATTCTGTGTTCCCTTTACGAGCACAGGGGCTGAAACATCCCTTTGTGGATTTCACAGTAGAGGATTATTCTTAAGGGTGATGTGGCTCATGCCCAAAATTACTCTGAGGCAGAATATCAGAGTTTGTCATTCTCAAGGTCAATGAAGGTCATTCTCAGGGCAGCTGTAACTGCCTCTTCAGACTATAACTGATTATCAAGGTCAATTGAGGGTCATACTTATAGTCTCGCATCAGATTGTACAGGCTGTCACAGCATTAAATCACTAGTTAATTTGTCATCCCTTAGGGCATTGTGGGTCTTCCCCACTGGACTGAATCTTACACAGAGACTAAGAGTCAAAGCCTTTAAAAGTATTCCAGCTTCACTTAATCCTGATCGGAGAATCCATTTGACTTAAAGTTGATTCAGACGTTTGCTGACTGAAAACACCTTAATTGTCCCGGCTTCCCCCGCTGCTAATATGGGCTGTCCTGTCATGTGCATCACTAGACCTCAGGAACTTCAAAGCCAGCAGAGTTGTCTAAAATTTCAACTGGATTCCTACGTCCTGTTTCGCTTATTGTGACGGATAAAGCACAAACGCCCCCGGTTCTTACAGGAAAGCCGCATTAAGCCACAGTACCGTAAGCACTGGGGTACCACACTAGTATCTATGCAGGATTTCCACCAAGCAAGGAATTAAGTACCTCATTCCGTCACACAGACAGGATGTGAGTCTTTCTTATAGGAATCATTAGACTACAAACCTTAAGTGCATCACAGGACCAAACCACAGATTTCTCTGAAACTGAAACAATCTGATCTTGTATAATGACCAGCAAACCATCTTTTTTTTTTAAATCAGTGCAATCCTCATTAAAATAACTGTGCTCTTTGCTTGGTACAAGCAGAACACTGCTAAAAAAAACCGAAGTCTGCAGAAATAAGCCTGGTTCTTAAAGGATAATCCCCAGTGATTTATGGAGAGCCAGCTGTGAGATGGTCAGATGATGATATGGTCAGCGTGCACCATGGGGGGGGGGAGGCTGATGTGAATTCTGAACTGTGGACTTTCGTTGGATTGTTGTAAGCTCTCTCATAGCTCGTGGTCTGTTTGCCCCCCTCCCGCAAACTTTCCAAAATACAAGGATACTGCTATCTGTCAACAACTGCCTACACAGCAAGGCAGATGTGTACCCTCACAAAAACGGGGGCCACTGGCATTAAAATACGGACAGAAAATGAGGGAGGTGCAGGGGTGAAATGTGTGGACGGGGAACATATGACCCCTGAACCATTTGATTGAATGATAATCATTCAGAGGTTGAGCTGCACAGGCTGCTGCTGGCGTGTTGGACAGACGAATGAACAGTGGGTGTGTCTTTAACTCAGGACAAAACGTCCACCTTGGGGGTGACTGTCCTTTCTGCTCAAAATCTGCCACGGCTGATTGACATCAGCTAGGCGACCCTTTGCATCTGGCACATTTTGAGCTGCTTTTTGTCTTTCATAAACGATTCTTCTGACTCAAAATTCTGGTATTTCTTTCAAGGCAAAAAAGCCACATTTTATCCCGTTGCTTTAAAAGACACACTGCAGTCCTTCCCAGTGTAATTACCTTTAAACGATATGCTGTTAGTTATCTCTTGTGTCAGAAAGCAAAGCAAGTGATTTGCTTCCGGAAAAATATCCAGTGGCTCTATTGCACTAAACTGCTTTCAGCTTTCTTATCTGTGAGGGGGGGGGGTGTCTCCTTACCAAGCACAGTGGCATATTAAAAAAAAAACACACACACATTAAAAAAACCTTTGACCCGCTAGGAGCCAGCAAGCTTCACGGGGGCGGGGCTTGCACCTGGCTGAGGCATCACCGAGGTGCAGTAAACATAGTGAGACTCTGCAAACTGGCCGCGTTTTGAAATTCGGAACATGTCAGTCCTGCAGAACCCAGGCAAAAAAACTCTTCCTGCCAACAAGGCAAGTTCCCCCCCCCCAGTACAAATAAACCTCATGTCTGTCAACAATGCATCTGTTTATTTAAACAGCCGGTATGCAGAATTAGAACCGCTCACCATGAAATCCCCCCAGTTTAAACCTGCCTTTGAAGTGTCTGATTATGGGCGTAATAGACGCAAAGTTCACTGCCAATAATAATATTGAAAAAACTCGGAGCTCTTGCTGTGTGTGCGCATGTGGTTCTGTGACACCCACCGTTCATGCCATTGTAGAGGCCACGGTGGTGCGGTGATGAGTCCTCCCCCGCCGGCCTCCTCTGCAGCACCTCCCTGCCGGGGCTGGACAGCCTGACCTCGGGGCAGCCGCTCCCCACCACTCGTCCCTTCTGTAGGTGCTCCGGCGTGGAGATCAGGGTCTGTTGCTTGGTCTCCGGGCTGCTGCATCCGCCGCCTATGCTGCCCCTGAGCTTCTGGAAGGCCTCCTGGCTGCTTGGCCCAGCCCCGACCCCAAGCAGGTGCTTCTGGGCCAGCCGGTCTGCACAGGATTTACCCTGCTTCTCAGGACTTTGCCCCCGCAGGGCTTTGTGGTCGGGAGTGGAAACCGACCCACAGCGAGGTCGGCATGCAGGGAGCAGTGGGATGGAGTATTCGGGGCTGGTGCTCCGGCGCCGCCCTAGAGGCTCGGAAATGGACCCCTCCCCAGTCCTGACTTTGTGAATGAGCTCTGGGCTGCTCCCTGCCCCAGAACACGCCAATGGCTGCTGCTTGTGGACCAGGTGGTCGGGGCTGTCCGTGCTTCCCGCGCTGGATGTGCTGCTACCATCTCCCAGGTCTCGTGGTAACCCAGAGCCAGGTGCCGCCGTGGGGCAGGGGCTGCCCTGGCTGTCGACGGAGTTCCGGCAGCCCACCAGGGTGCTGCCCACCCCGCCTTTCTCCTCATCCAACAGGAGGCAGAGCTCCTTCAGCTCCAGGTTCTCCTTCAGCACCTCCTCCTGCCTCGTCTCCAGCTCCTTTAACTTTTGTAAGTAGAAGACCACCTCCTTGCGCATGACGCCAGCGCTGTAGCGGCCCAGCCGCTGCCACTCCCGCGACACCTTCTTCCCCTTCTGCCTGTCGTCGTCCAGGAAGCAACAGAGGTCCCGCAGCTCTTGGTTGTCCTCCTGGAGCTTCCGGTTCACATCCTTGGACAGGGAAGTAGAGCAGAAGAGAAACAGAACACAGGATAAATACAGAGGCTATACAACAGCTCCTCATCTGAAACTTCATTTCCAACATATTCAGAATATAACATATGCTATATTCAGACCAAGTATATGCTTGTGGAAGTTTTACTTACACAGAAATGTTCTGAGGACAGAACGAAAAATGACTGGTTCAGAGAGATAACCAATCATATTGCAGATGAGGTGGGTCCAAGTAGTTAGAGGAGGCAGGACCAAGACATCTGATTGGTTGGTCCCACATCCTCCAGTTGCTTGGACCCACCTCCTCTACAATCTGATTGGTCATCTCTCAGCCATTCATTTTTCATTCTGCCCTCAGAACAATTTTAAGTGAAACTCCCATGAGTCAAATATATCATCATTAGTGATGTAATAGAATTGTCCCCCTAGTTCACCGTTTTTACCATTGCCCACCCTCCCACCCCCCATATTGACAACTTTTTATCCACCAGGGGATGCACCCCCCCAAAACCTCTGACACAATTCAAATACCAGTGCGCACCCAACCTATCCAAATGCCAAGGGCATAGTTTTGGGTTTGGACAATAGGCACATGCCCCTGCCAATATTGAGGGAGTACGGCAAGTTCACGGGGGCAGAGGGGTACTACCTATGTTGAGCCCAAATTTACACCTTTGCTGAATGCCCACCTCTGGGTGGCATCCTGGTTACACCACTGCCCCCCCCCCCCCGTGTCGTGACCTCGGCGTCTCTGCCAGGCTTAGGAGTCACGGCTGCCCAATTACTTTCCACGTATTGGCTTTGGCTTCACTGGCTTGAGCAACTTCCAGGGCACTTCATCTTAGCCTCACTAGATCTCTCACTAATAAGCCCAGGGTCTAAATTTCATGACCTGTGCCTTTAAATCACCTTTGTTAGAGAGTCTCATCCGCGAGCCACCAGTGACTCTCATTCTCAGCCTCTCTGCCAACTATCTTCTTCCTTTTTAACCAGCATTTCTCGCCAAGCCCAACGTAACATTCCAGGTCACATGATTCATCCGACTTAAGCATGGTCACGCTATACGATTCCCCCCCCCCCTGATATGCTCAGAATAAGGTTGCAACCTAACATCGTAGTAACCTTTTAAAACTGAATATGAAAAGAGTTTATGTACGGATTGATCTGAGCACATTCAGGGTGTGAACACCGACATATTTAACTCATATTTTAAAAAATATCTGAAGTGTCCTAGATATTTAATTCAAATGAAAACAATTCAAATGTAAATGTAATATTAAAATTGTGTGTGTGTGTGTCCATTTCAGTGCATATTCAGCATACATAATACCTCACTAAAACGATCTCATTGTCTAATCGCTATAGCATTTCACAAATGTTTGAAAAATAGCTGCTGAAATTGTTTCGCAGTTTTAGAGTTACCCATGAAGTAGCATATCTCCATATGTCCATACTTACTCTAACAGTATATGTAAAGGTGTGTGCCGAGTACCAAACTTCCTCGGTACCGGCAAGGACGCCTCACCTTTAATCCGCGGATTTCGTTCAAGTGCTGCTGAAGCCGCCGATTAACCTCGCGTATCAGATTACTGTGGTCCAGCATCAGGCTCATCTTCTCGTCCTCAGCCTTCCGCAGCCTCCGCACCAGGTCTTCCTTGCTCCACTTCAGCAAATCGTCGTCCGTCAACTTGGATATATCCTCGGCTGGACTTTCGGCGTTTTTGGACATCGTCAGCTGAAGCTGGGGCTGCGTCGTCTTCTCCATGGATTTAAAGTTATTCGAATACGGACACAAGTAGAAAAAAAAACACTATTTTAAAAATCCGGAGCGTAAACCTCAGCACGCCGGCAATTCCAAATTATGCTGCTAAAAAATGCTGTACAGTTTATTATATATACTGTATATTTTCTTGCTCTCGGTAATCCATCCCGAATTTAACGTCCAAAGAAAAAAAACCTATATATCTATTCCAATTAAACTGCAAGATGGTAAGACTGTACATTTAATTCCCCTAAAAATAAAAATGTAAATCTTGCGACTTATAATAATTACCCTGCTTCCCTTGCTCCTGCATCCTTTCTGTACTAAGGAGAGCCTCGCCGGCTCCCAGGCCGCTGGTGAACACGCCTCCCACGGCGTGCACAGCCTCTGCAAAGAGAGAGCGCTGCCAGCGAGCGCATCGAGGGAGGGTACAGCGTTGGCTGAAAAGCAAAGCGGAAAGGGAAAGAGGGATAGAGCGTGACTGCAGCGAGAAGGACTGGCACACAGTGGTGGAAAGCGTCCTCTTTTTCCCCCTCCTCCCGCCCAGTTCTGTCTGCTTTTGCGTGGGATTTAGGAGCGCGTTTCATTGCTGCCTAGCGCCACCTACAGGACAGAGGTATTCTGCTCCTACGCCAGATATAAGACGCTATGCATTTTAAAATATAAAATGCTGGAATATTTGAAGTTGCAAATTCACCCGGGAACAGTATTATCTGTATTATCTATTTCGCTATAGGTCTGACTGATGTCATTGACTGATGAAGTAATTTACATAGAGCGTTAAACTGTCCTTTGCAGTGATAAATTGTACAAATGTAAAAGCCTTAAAAGTGTCAGACAAATCATTCATCTATCCATGGAACAATATGCCAACTCCGCACACATGGGTTCAGCCAGCTGTGGAGGTGTGAGGCTTCAGCCAGATAAACTTCTGATTTAACATGTTATACTTATGGCAACCTATGTAGTCTAATGCAGAGTGAAGTTTCTCAAGTTCTAATTAATTGAAGATAATATATTTCTTAATTTGTTCACTATTACTTAATTGGCACTGTTATGCACATGAGGCTGTTGTTGCTTGTTTAAATCCATATGGCAACAGTTTCATGTAGATCTTTAAATCCACGAAGAGTCTCCAACAAAAGGAGTTTATTAGCAAAACTAATGCAAAGGGCTAACCAGAAAATAAAGGAACCATGAGGGTTCTAAACAAAACTGATACAATAGAAATCAAGGCAGGGGGCAACACCGTGACCACAACACTAAAGGCAGGGAGGTACTCAGGAAAGCTATACAGTCCAAGGAATCAGCACAAAAACACAAGGCAGCAGCTAAAGCAACAAAGGGAACCAGCCACAAGGAATCAGCAAGGAGCCAAACAAAAGAAGGAACTTAAATACACAACTAAGAAGACATGATGCAGGACAGGTGGGAACCATAACTCAACCAATCACAGGGACTCGGGGCAACAAGGAACAGTTGCGGCATATTACAATGAACTCAAGACAAAAGACACTGTGGTAGAAAAATTATAAATCAAGCACTTAGAATAAAAGTCTGGACCTCTTAGTTTGGCGAGTAAAAAAAATCTCTTTTATTCCAGCAAGTTCAGCAAAGCGCTCCCATCACACTCTGGCCCTTGGTACCAAGTCACCCCCGGCACACAGAGTGACCAGTAGATAAACCATAACTACCAGGACTTCTAAGTCCTGATTGGTCATGAAACATCAACAAACTAAGCTGAAACGTATAACAAACACAATTCTCCCGCTCCATTGGTTCACTTTGGTAGCAAGGTAAAGTCCACCCATTGTACGCAACTTACTGGAGACAGCCTCGGCTTCTAGACCCTACATGAGATATGTATATAGATATTAATTATATGACATTGAATCACTGTTAATGTTTGGGTGTTCCATTGATTAATGATTAACACATTGACATATTGTCCCTGAATCGCTGAAGATACATGCTTAACATATGATTAGTATGATTAACATAAGTATGATTAACATGAGGCAATCAATTGCGTGACATATTATATTGACTACTACAACTACTTTAATAAGCTATAACTCTTTGTGCACCAGTTGGGGCGGCTTCGAGTCTCTTCCTGCAAGTGGTTTCTCCCCCCCTTTGCTCCACTGTCTGCCTCTCCAAGGTCCGAGCTTCCGCGGAGCCAACTGCAGGCAGCTATCACAAAGCGAGGTCACATAGTATTCAAAACAATCTCTTCTGGCCTAAGGCCTAAGACATAACAGACCCAATATGCCTCCCCTCCCGGGCCTACGGATGTCCAATTTTACTTCCACAACACCATCCTCCAAAGCCACGTGCTCGGCCCCTAGAGCCATTCAGGGGCCCAGGAGAACAAGAGAAACACACAAGGGCATCATCAAGCAAGATGGCCAGTGGGAACTGCTGGGCCAACGGCAAAGAGGCACAGTTTTCCATGACCACTGATCTGTTGCGCTATACAAGAGAGCCTATTCCAGGAAGCAGGATGGGATACTAGTTCAATTGGAGGCACATACTAAGGTGAGAGGAAAACGACAGCAAACTAGGGAGGACATGTAAACACACAACAAACTGGAATCCACAAGCCTACTATATATAATACTTTTTCCACAACACAGTTAAAAATGTAAATGAAGTTTGATACCTTAATGCAGGTCTAATATTGGGCCCACTGACTGATCCCTGACTTGGCCTGCTTGAGAGGGATCACATTTTGCGAGGCTTATGGCAAATGAAAAGTCTGTGTTTGAACCCAGAGAAAAATAGCATGTTGTACCAGTAACATACTAGCCACGAGTTTCACATTAAATTTATATGAAAACAATTGGATCTGTAGGAAAAGACATCTTCACAATGGGGTGTTAAATGAATGCTTTAGAAGGATTGACTTCGTAAAGTAATACTGATTGGCAAACTTTGCTTGATCAGCTATTGATCAAGGTTTTATAATTAGAAGTTATGACCATAATTTATTGCATAATGTAACTTCCCAGTAGACTGTATTTACCCTTATATGGTTGTAATGACAACGTTCAGAAAACGTATCCAGAAGAACGAAAACCATGATGGTGTTCGTTGAACATGATATCCTGTCTCCCCCTAGTGGTGCGCAGGCGTATTCTACAAAGCTTGTGCTATACAATAAAGAAAGATTCACGGCTTAAACAGATAAAGCCCTAAGGGAGGTCAGCTACTACTGTACCAGGAGCCGTCACTAGCCCGAGTAATAACAGGAAAAATCCACAAGATGGCAGAAAGCTTTCTCCGTTTTATTCTTGACTACTTGATTCAACTACAACTAACTTCAGGAGCACGCGGATTCACTAGTGCACAGACACTACATTTCCAATAGTGTCGCCCAATTTCCCTGAATGGCTGATCCAGTGAAGTTCTGAACCCCAAGCTGGCCCTCGATTCCAAATCCTTGTCTTCATTTCTCCCAGATAACTAGTTTAATCATGACTGATTCTGATTGGCCAGAGGCTTCACACATGGCTGACAGGTAAAGGAAGGCTGGAAAATCAGCAGTGCTCGGACCTCGAGGACCGTGATTTGAATAACCCTATTCTAGAAAGTACGGTGTGAAAAGCAAAGAGAGTAACCCAGGACAGTTTCTACCTATTGAAAAGATTAGGGGCTCTCGAGTTTACCTAGGGCTTGACTTATTTGTTTCTAAAGGAAGATTATTATCGGGGCTAAAATACTTGGGATGATAGCCCCGAGTATTCGGATCTAACGACGCTCATGAAGTAAACACTTTGTTAATTTCATTTTCATTTCATTTTCAGTTTATACAGTAAGACTAGGACACTATTTTTCATTGTTACTTTAATTAGAGGATCGGTGTGTTGCTTCTCCTGTAAGATAAATACAATTTCATCGTCATAGTTTACGATATACATAATCAGATCTGTAAAATATCTTAATCGGATATAAAACACTTTCCATCTAAAGATTAATTAAGAAATGAAAATGCACTATTAGTGAAAATAGATTAGCTTTAACTTTAATTACAATAAATATAGTTTAAATACATAGCAAACGTCTTTTAACTTTTTTTTAACATTTCAAGTATGGAAAGTGTTGTTCTGATTGATTTACTTCAGTCAAAAAAGTACGGGTGTGGTAAATATTAAAGTGTGACTTTTTATAATTATTGTGGGAGGTCCGACTATGCAGGTGAAATGAAATTAGCGCTAAAAATAAGAAGTGGGAGTTGCTGTTGCTGGGAGTTGTTGGTTGTGATTTAATCTCAGGCAACCGCGTGTGTTGCAGTGAGAACCCGGGATATGGCAGCGATTCTCTGCGTCTTTTGCCTCTTTTTGGCGTTGACATCCGCAGCAGCTTGGTCTGCGCCTTGGTTTTGCCATGGCCATGAATGTCCGCCGTACGAGCTCATTGGAGAATATGAGGTAAAGTGGTTGTATCACGTTTACTTCTTTCTGTGATTTACTGTTGATCACTTAATCCTTTCTCACTATTGATACAGACTTTCGAGGAACGCTACTATAACGCAAGCCGCTGGATAATGACTGGTATTGAAAGTACGGCGTCATCGGTCGTGTACGACGGTTTTATGAAATTGTACGGATACACCGACGGAGAAAATGAGAGAAGTAAGCAAGGCATTTTAAGTGGGCTAAACGAAGGAAATGATTAAACAAAAATTCACCTTTTTGGAAATTAATTTGAGACTGCAATGTGAAATTTTCATCAGTATAAATGTTAGATATTAGGTGTTTAAGCTGTAATACAGTGAATATGTCTTTCAGAAAGATAATATTGCTACTTCTTGTAACAGGCCAGAAGATCCCGATGACTCTACCAGTCATCGTGGCGACGTCTCAGTCTGACAAGGAGAATGATCGGTTATCGATCTCCTTTTACGTTCCTCCCAACCTCGACCTACCAGCACCCACTAACGCGGATGTTGAGAGTCTGGACCGACCCGAAGGCAGGGTGTTTGTCAGGTGAGCATCAAGTGAACAAATCAGAATAACTTGCATAAGTTAAGTTATTGAGTGGAATTGTCTGAGTGTCTTAATCATTGTTTGGGCATGGTGCCCTGCCGCTATAGGGCCTTTGGTGGAATAGCCTCCGAGTCAGACTGGCTGGAGAACGTCAGTGAACTACGGGAATACCTGCTGAAGGAAGGGAAGGAGTTTGACGCTAAGAACTATGTTGCCGCTGGTTATGATCCTCCGTGGAAATTATTTTTCAGGCACAATGAGGTCTGGATCCCCGCAGTTTGAGTTCACTGATATTTGTTAATGCCCCCGAAGCAGGGCTTGGTAACCCTGTTACTATTTTAATACCATATAATAATGCAGTTACTTGTTTTTCAGTAAATGATGTTCTTTCGCCGGGATGCCCATGCATTTCTGTTGTCCTGTATTACGATAACTCCACCAAATTAGACATGATAGCGGAATGTCTTATTTCATGTTTCATTTTCGTGTTAATTTTTTAAAAGCCTCCTATTCGCAGATTGTTGCTTCAGACTCCTTTGCGGGAAAATCTCCCTGCAAAATAGTCACCTGCGATTTATAAGATGATTATATCCGAGAAACGACCTTATAATTTCAGCCGACAAACCAGTTTGAAGAATGTTGTGTGGCACTTCCTCATTCCAGGTCGACAATTAATTACCCGGAGGTCCGGCTGAAATGGTACAAACTGTCTGTGCAGTAACACTTGTTCGGTTTGTTTAACAAGACATTTGCTCAGAGAAAATGCAGCATGCAATACATTACAATGGCGTGATTAAAGGGTTTAAGATGCGTAAATAAAAAGCTGGGATTTATTGTGTGTTATTAGCTCTAAATGAGGTCTAAGAAAATAAACAAATAAAATACATATTGTTTGTGGGTAAGTTTCTTTAAGAGGCCATGTTTTAGCTTTGGGGATCTTAGAATTTCTGATGTTCATCAGAGATGATTAGGGTAATCAACTCATTTACTGGTTTAAATCAGACAAATCAAAACAAGGATGATGGGTATTTACAGTAGGCTTTAGTTTGTTTTTAGGTCAGCAAGATTTGCTTCACTAAGGAGAGTTTTCTGTTGCTCAAATGAGACAAAATGAACAAACAGAACCTAATGAATGTGTGCTATGTGCTAGACGGACATGACTGGATATTCAGATATGTTTGGTATAAATGTCGGTATGTTGTGACATGAGTTTAATCATAGCCACATGTTAATACCTTTGATCATTATGTACTTAACAGATGTTCAAGAAATGCACAGAAGTGACAAAATGAATGATTTGGAAGGTGAACTCTGTGTGTAATTAAGTGTGTCACATAATCTTTGAAATAAAACTCTGGAAAGAGTCCTTGTGTGTGTGTGTGTGTGGGTATGTTGTGATGCATGGTTAGGCTAGAGCGGGAAATACTGAGTTAAGGCTGTGTGATCTATTCTTGGATGGGGCCCTGGAGCCTTACTGAGGTCTGTCTCAGGTTGAAAGCACAGAAAGCAGTTCCTTCCCCCTCGTCATGGCTTCTCTTTTGAGCGCAGTCCGAGGGCTTTAATAGCACCTGGGTAGATTCCCCCCCCGACACAATTGACTTCCTCTGGAATCACATGGCTTCATTCCTCAGTCCCATCAATGTGGAGGTCCCCCCCACCACCACCCCACCCCCAGTGGGGTTATGCATTGTGGGAATGTGGGTCAAACCTCTGGAGGACTCAGGAAGCTCTGTGTCATGGTGACTGATGGAGAGGCGCCCTGATAGGTCCGTATTGGGCTCCATCTGGGGGCGGGGGGGTTGGGCGGGGGGAGTGTGTCCAGCAAGCAGAAACATGGCGTGATACAGCGGGTATATATGAGAGAATTGGCTTAGACCCCTTTTCCTTCTGGGCTTAGGAGAGCAGGGACTAGCTTAGCTGCCCACGTGAGAGCAAAGAACCAAATGCCTACTGCTGTACATAATCATCAGCCCTTTTTACAGTGTTAATATTGCTGTGGTGATACATACAGAGGTGGAGATTTCAGGTCTGGAAAGTAAAAATCCGGACCATTTATTTCAACCAACCGGATGAGTATAAAGACCCACAGTCAGAGTACTTAACTGTTTGTTTGAAACAAAATCCCAGTCTGGATTTTTACTTTCCGGACCTGAAATTTTTACCTACGGATACATTTATTTATCGGATGTTTTATCCAAAGTGATGTACCTGTACAAGTGAGAAATCAGGGCCAGCCAGTTAAAGGCACTGATCAAGGGCCCAATGGTAACACCATGCTGCCTGCTGTGGTATTTGAACCAGCAAACTACACACACAAACACAGACAGACAGACAGACAGACACAGACAGACAGACAGAGTCAGACAGACAGATAGACACACAGACACAGACAGACACACACACACAGACAAACACAAACACAGACAGACAGACACACAGACAGACACACAAACACAGACAGACAGACACAAACAGACAGACAGATAGACACACAGAGACAGACACACACACAGACAAACACAGACAGACAGACACACAGACAGACAGACAGACACAGACAGACAGACACAGACAGACACAGACAGACAGACACAGACAGACAGACAGATAGACACACAGAGACAGACACACACACAGACAAACACAGACAGACAGACACACAGACAGACAGACAGACACAGACAGACAGACACAGACAGACACAGACAGACAGACACAGACAGACAGACAGATAGACACACAGAGACAGACACACACACAGACAAACACAGACAGACAGACACACAGACAGACACACACACACAAACAGACAGACAGACAGACACACGGAGACAGATAGACAGACAGACAGATCGAGCCACACACCTGCCCATGGTGATAGGAGCAGTAATCTGTGGGTCAGAACCAATTCCTCTCTTTGTTTAAACCGAAACTGTCTTTTGCTGCATCAGCATTTGTTTATGTTTTGATTGTCACCTACTACAGCCTTCCCTAAAGTAATCATTCTACAGTAGATGTTTTATAAACTTTAAAATGTCTGAAAAGCTGGATATTGAACTATTACTTTTAACAAGAGTCTGGTCATTTCTGCTGCACTTGAAAGAATGGGTCAAAATTGTTGTTTTCTTATATAGGCGATTTTACCGACGGTGCAATTGCACCCTCTATTGGTCAGATAATGACGTTTGAAGATATTAAATTCGATAAAATTTAACTACATGGTTAAAATATATTTTAAAATATCGTAAAGTTATCTTTTATAATATGGTTTGTGTTGGTCATCTCAATAATTTATTTACAATTTTTATGTGCAGCCCAACTTTAGCGTATCTTGTACTGAATGCCTGGTTGGGCTGCTTCACTGCACCCCCCGGGTGAAAATCCCGGAGCCGCCTGTAGTTCCTCAACTGTACTTACTGCCAAAATATTTGCTGCAGTACTCACAAATGTGCACTAGATGGCACTGCGTGTTTTCTCGATGAAAAATACTCATCACAAATATTGTCACATTATGTTCAGGGCACTTTCAGCGGTTTTGCAAATTCCATTGTTCACTTTATATAACTGCACAACATGCTTTTTCACATGGGAACTGTGACAGGAAAGTGTAGCGCATGTCCATCCGGGGCTGGATATACCGTTCAGCCCTGGTTCGCGTGGCTGCGGTCCATGACATCTTAGCAGGTTTTGCAGAACATGCTGTTGGAATTTTTCCACAAAGCATTTCAAGATGGAGGGTGGCACAGTAGCTGATTGCTTAGCATTGTAGCCTCACATCTGGGGCTCGATTCCCTCTCCCAGCCCTGCGTGTGGGGGTTGCTTGCTCTCAGTTTGTGTCGCTTCCCTCTTACAGTCCAAACATGTGACGTTACATGAATTAGTGTCGCTAAATTGCCCATAATGTGTGATTGTGCCTTACAGTGGACTGGCATCCAGTGCGTGACAGGCACAGGGGGGGCAGGGGGTACTTCAGTGCCCGAATAATTGAATCCCCTCTAGGTTCTAAGTGCCCCTTTTTCGATAACCAATGATATATGTAAAGCTTTTCCCCAGGACCGACAAAATTTACCCTAAGTCGCACCCCCCAATTCAAGCATCTGGCCCTTTAATAGAATTAATAGAAAAAGCTGGGTCCCTCACATTTTAGGCTACTGAGTAGCAGAGAGCACTAGAAGTCAGTCCAAGGGCTTGATCGTTGGGGTTTAGTATGATGCTGAAAGAGAAGCTAAGGTCTTCCGAGAAGCCATGTGGAAGGTCACACCCCTGGGGATGTTGAAGAGAAGCCGTCGGCCTCGAACCCAAACAACAGAAGTTTCCCACTACAGCCTGGGGTCCGCATCCTGTCCTGGGCTGCAGGGTGGAGAGACGCAGCTACGCTCCGCCCAGTGGTGACTTGCAGACACGACATGCATGAAATCGGGTCTCCTCGCAACCGGAGGCTCTTTTGCACGCCTGGTTCGTATCCATTATTGATGAAGCACTTTTATTCAGAGCTGTCGTCACGGGGCCACCCGGCAAAGAGCTTTTCCGAAAGCGTTGGAGGGAACAAAGAGACCGGCATCAGACTGCAGTGAGTGCTGACGGCGGCAGAGAGCAGCGGGAGTTAGGAACCTGTGGGCGCGCCTCTGTTCCGGCACATGAGCCGCGCAGAAACCGTTTACGTGTAAACGCCAAGCTTTAGGACTCTGGGAATAGGACTGTTTGTGTTTGTGCCTCACTGTCACACTCTGTGGTGACATTAAATTCATTTTCAACTGCCTCTGGTTACCCTCAAATATTTTTGTTGTTTTCGATTGTCTGCACAGTGTGTGTGTGTGTGTGTGTGTGTGTGTGTGTTTCCATTCATTTGTCCATTTCCCAAACTGTCAGGGTAGTCTATTTCCAGTCATGCTGTTTACCTCATGCCCATAGTAGTCTTTCTGAAATATTACAGAAGTCTCCTGTGTGTTAAATCTTTGACTGAACAATCGTGAATAATACATGATCTATTCTCAAGGAGATTTTGTGGCTTTCGCATTTCATATTTATGCTACAAAGATCTCTTCCGTGGTCATTAATGATTAAGCACAAATTTACGAAGCTTTCAACACATGCACATGATGGATGGACGACTGCCATCTTTGCTTCTTCTGGGGAGCGGGGGATCGGATTGGTTGTACCTTGACTGACCTGGGGGGGAATATGACCCATTGGTCTGAAAGTACACCTGGTCCTGACATAGGCAAGGCTCTGGCCTCTGTGACCTCATTAAATACACATGGATTCATGTTGTTACAGCGGGTGTCGCTGGACAAACAGGTACCAACCCTGACACATATAAATACACACACATGCACACATGTGTTCCTACCCTGCTGAGGCCAGATTGAACAACAGTAGCTATGGAAGATACGAAAGCCTTCGGACTCACGCACACGTGCGTGGGATTTGGAACACGGTGTGGAGACGTCAGCGCTTGTGAGATCAATGCCCGCCTGAGCCTGGGCGAGGCTGATAACCTACGCTGGCCTGCCTGCCCACACCCAGCACCCTCTGGCACATTGTCCCGCCAACCTGCCGCCAGCTGCCAGGTCCCTTTAAACCAGGGGGACGTGCGAGAGGCAGAGATATCCCGCTTTATCTGTCCCCGACGCTCCCAGCTGCCGGTGCTTTCTCAATTAGCCAGTAGCTAACCGCTAATGGCTAATTGTCACCCAGCTCTTATCTGTCTGAAAAGCAGGCCTGCTGCAGATGCGCTTGCCACAGCAGGCCAGCGAGCCGGGGGGAAGCCCACCCATCCGGCTCTCGTCTCCTGCGGATAACTGCGGATGTGCCGCTGGTCAGTGTTCCCTGCTCCTGGGCTAAATGACCCGAATGCCCTGCAGCAGTGCAGCACTTGTCCTGTAGGGGGCACTGTGGATTATTATGTCAGATTTGCTGGGGTCAGCCTTGCCAACTGTCACATTTGGTGTGACACTCACGCTTTCAGACTCTCACGGTCACACAAGAATTCTTAAGGCAAATCTATATTATTCCATTATAAATCTAAAATTAGCCACATGAAAAGCATTGTGATAGTTTCCAAATCCTAAGACAAGGTAATAAAGTTGTTACAATGCATTTTGTTGTAATAATGCCACATTACGTAATAACTGAACAGAATGTAACAAATATAATGATGATAATAAAAACAATAATAATAATACGGTTATGTTACAATATAAATTATACTGTAGTCTATGAATTTGTAACATTTTGTCAAGTTATTACATGATGCGCTGTCCTAGAAGTGGCGCAGTATGACATAAGAAGCAAGGGGGGGGGGGGGGCATCTTGAATGACACAGTCAGAGATGAGAGGAAAACTACAACCAGACCCGTAGGAAGAGACACAGTCAGACTGAGTAAGAAATGGGAAGAGCTGCTCTGTAAGGCTTGAGGGAGTCATTTAGAATCATTTACTTCACTGTGTAACTCTGCTGATCTTGTGTTGTGATTTCCTCTTGAAACTGATACGATGCCTGAATAAAGGAAGAGCGGAGCTCACCCCAAAACAAAGGTCACACCGGGGGCCTGTATCACAGAGTGAGATTTGTTAGTTAGCTGGATAACTTCTCAGAGTTAAGTTACCCCAGTTTAAATGGACTTTATCTTTCTTCACTCGCATTTAGCTCAGACTCCCTGAAATCTGACAGGTTGCCTTCCCAACCTAAAAATCCAGGTTTGTGATCCAGGCCCGAGGCTGGCCTGTGGAGATTAGCTGCCAGTGCTTATGACGTTGCAGTTACATCAGACCCTCACAGTGGGGTGCCATCACCCCTACATCAGATCACAGTCACCAAAGCTGAAAAAGTCGCATTAGAGACTCCCGTGTCCGTGAGTGATGCAACCTCTCACACGTTTGTTAAAGATGGTAAAATCCCCCGACACATCACTCATTCTGAATAACTTGCTTCCACTTTCTAGCGTTGTAGGTTTATAACTTTTTGAGGCCTAATCCTCTTTTGTGCAATTAGTAGCAGAAGCGAAAGTGACGCGCAGTTCTGTTGCGGTTATGTTTAAGACATCACAGTAGGTGCTTTGTGGACTACCCAGAATCACTCAGACAGATGGTCTCCAGTCATTGTCCGATTATTATGGGCGAGGAACACAGACAACAGGGCCAACTTTTTCTGAAGTTTTTCAAAGTATTTTTCTCCTAATACATTACCAGCTTAGTTACCGAGGTATATACATACATAATAGCATATCGTGTGGGTGTTTGACTTTGTCCGTGGTTAATTGTGAGTATTGAACATAGTGTAGTTGTGCGTGTGGTTTTTTTATCTGAGTGTGTGGTTGTGAAAACACCGCTGTAGCCTTCAAATGGAAAATATTTCTGTGGCACAGCAGTGAAATCAGCTTTCTGAAGGGCTTTACCTCCGGTGGAATGTGCTTCTATGGAGCTGTGGAATGAGGGCCCATGGCAGGTGGAGATGTGAAAGGGTGAAGGTCAGGGCACCTGGAGATGTGGAGGAAAATAGAAAGTTAGTGCACATTGCAGCTGCGTATAAAACAGATGTATAGTTTGGCCGGCGTACATAGTATTGAATATTTCGATTTTGCATTTTTAACATTTTTTTTGCTTGCAGATGTCAGAGGGGACAATCATTCGGGGCTTTCAATAAAATGACATCCAACGGAATTACCCAAGTGTGTAAAGATGCTCTTTTTGAACATCGTAATGCTTCATTGACTTGCTGCCTGAAAATGTTCTCACCAGGAATTGGCTCCATGCTATTCCTCCCGAAATGTCAACTACAAGAATGTGAAGAATTGGGGTTAGGCTGCACGGCGTGGTCAGTCATGTCGAGAAAATGCTGATGGAGACCAGGGGAACATCTGCTTCTCACTGAGGGGTGTAAAGTCCTCTTCCCTCTGTTAAGATACAGAACTGTAGGCTGTTCTTCCTTTTCATGACAGATTCCCTTCAAAGAAGTGTGTGTGTGTGGGTATGTTGTGATGCATGGTT